CAAGTTGGCTTTTTAGGGGGGGAAGCCCCTCGCCTAAGGTCCGGCCCAGTTGGGGGGTCCTTTGGGGGGGGGCCGGCTTTTTCGGTTTTTTTTTTTCCGCGCCCACGCGGAAGTGGGGGGATTCCCCCCTGGGGCAAGCCTTGCGGAAAAGGAGGGGCTTTTGGGGGGCCCGCAAAAGACTTTGGAAACATTTGGGAAGGAATTTCCCCCCCCCCCCCCCCCCCCCCCCACCTCCCACACACCTCCCACACACCTCCCACACACCTCCTCCACACCTCCCACACACCTCCTTCACATCTCCCCCACACCTCCCCCACACCTCCTTCACACATCTCCCCCACACCTCCCCCACACCTCCTTCACACCTCCTCCACACCTCCTCCACACCTCCTCCACATCTCCCCCACACCTCCTCCACACCTCCTCCACACCTCCTCCACACCTCCTCCACGCCCGGCACGGGCAGCCGGAGGCGAGTCCCGCCCCTCGCCCCTCGCCCCTCGCCCCTCGCCCCGTGCTCCAGCCCGCCTCTTCCTGCCGCGTCGGAGCCCCCGCCGCCCGGAGTAGGCCTTCGAGCTCGGCGCCGACGCGGTCTGCGCGCTGCTGCAGCTAAGCGCCGAGGTGGCGGGCATGCGGGCGCTGCTGCTGCTGCTGCGGTGGCGCAGGGGCCTGAGCGCGCACGGCGTCGTGCTCGACCTGTACCCCACCTCGTACTGGCTGCCTCCCGTCGCGCGCCAGCTGATGCCGCACGCGCGCGTGCGCCAGCTCGAGCTGCAGGCCGAGTGCTCCGTGCTGCGGCAGCTGGTCTCTTCGCGCCTGTCCGCGTACTCGTACTACGACGAGCGCGTCGTCGCGTGGTCCGAGGTGCTGCAAGCGTACGGGATCGGGCTCAAGGCGATCGACACCTTTTACGGCAGGAAGCGCTTCTCGTGCGGCGGTGGCAGCACCCGCGAAGCCTTTCACGGCCTAGAGCGCTTCCCGGAGTGGGCGGTGCGCGATGTCCGGGCACTGCCGCCTCTGCACGCCCTCGCGGGGGCCCTCCTCGAGGAGGAGGTGCTGCTGGAGGGCTGGCGCTTCTGATGCGCGCAGCCACTGTTGTGTTTACTTGTCCGACGTGTCGTGGCAGGGTGATCGAGTACAATCTGGTGGTGGAGGCCGCTCTCTGTCTCTCTCTGTCTGGGGTGCATGTGAGTTGTGAGCTCAGCTGGGGCGCCGGGGGTTCCCGTTCGAGCTTTCTTGCGGCAGACTCGACTCTTAAAGACAAAACACACACCACCGCTCGGCGCTCGCATCACAGAGTATGATGAGTCAACACGCACACTCCACACACCACCGCCTCACTGTCTCACTCACCGCCGGCCGCGGGCCCGCGCTCTCCTCTGCGCTCTCTCTGGGACTCTCTCTAGCTCTCGAGCGGCCGCCGTCTCTCCAACTACTACCCGCTGGTGAGTCCTCCAGCGCCCAGCGGCCTCTTTTGTTTGTTTAGCTTTTTATTGAAATTATGCTACGTCACGTGTTGTTCAGCATTGCCGTCCACGCTTGTCGAGAGACTACAGACCACCCCGTGAGAACACGGCCTCGGCGCAGTTCTCGGTGGAAGCGAGGCAAGGCGGTGGGGAGGGGCGCTGCTCGCTGGCGCCGACCACGTGCCGCGTGCTCGAGCCCCACACGGCGGTGCTCTCGCCGATGGGGCAGGCGAGTCGCGCCTCACCGCACCACACCCGGCGGCTCTCCTCACACTGTTGCACTGCTGACAGGTGAAGTTCTCAGTGTTCCACAGCGGGTCGCGCATCTTCCCGCACGCTGGCCCGACAAACGGGCGCCTGCGAGTCCACGTGTGCCTGTACGCGCCGGAGGCGAGCTGAGGTCGTCGCCGTCTAGGGACTCGGTAGTCGTGACCGCCCCCTGAGTGTGAGGAGCAGGAGAGAGAGAGCTTTGTGGTGTTGGTGTACGCAATAACGGGACAGGGTGGTTGTTCTCTCCATCTCCCCTTCTAGCTCTTAGCATGAGCTGCGCCCTGTGTCCGACCCCTTTTGCGCAGCAACACCTTAAACTTTCAGGCCCTCCAAATTCGGGTCGGAGCGTAGCGGAGTGGGCCCCGAGTTTGAAAAAGGGCGACGGACGCTTGCGTCCTAGCCTCCAACAACGCCTCCCCGGCGCAGAGGGGCCCCCGGAGGGATGCACAACCGCTCCACGCCACGCTTGCGGCGGTCCTCTTCCCAGCTCTGCTGAGACGCGGTGTTATACTTTTTCCCAGGCGCAGAGATGCACGTCCTCGGTCGCCTATTCTGCTGCCTGCACAGGTCCTTTCTCCCCGACGAGCCACGGAGGCCCTTTGTCGTGCTCGAGGTCGTCAACTGCCAGGCGTACAGCCTCGGCTACACGAAGTTCGTCGCGCTTGACCCGGACGGCAAGCACCCAGACCAGGCGTTCATCGAGCGGTGTCGGCGCGAGCTTGCGGGGTGTACCTGGAACTTCTTTGTGGAGGCGGTGCTCCAGGCGCGTGTGCCCGCACCGCCGCGCCCGCGCCTCTCCTCAGTCCGCACGGACCGGGCGCCACGCAGGTACACCGGAGGGTGCTTGGCTCCGCGGACTACGATCGCGCCACGCAAACCTACACGAACGTCCCCTTCCACGAGTACGTCTCGTATGTAATTCCTCGCGTCGGGTGCGAGGAGTTCGCCGGCACCGCGGAGGACTTCTTCGCCGCCGTCGGGACGGAGACCGCGCCGGCTTATCCGTACAGCGTCCCCGGATCTGCCGTTTCGCGCTCGCTCGCGCTTGTCCCCGTCGAGATGGGCTCGTGGCACTCCACCCTCGCCTCTGAGGAGAGAGGAGGGCGGTGGCTTCCGATCTTCCAGTGCCTGCCGCTCTTTACACCACGCGCTATCGCAGCCCAGCGCGGGCTGCTCCTCTCCCAAGAGGTGCGCCGGGGCAGTCTCTCGCCCCGCCGCGCGCGCCGCCCTCTTGAGCCCCACCCCCCCGCCCACCCCGCCCCACCACCGCTCTCCCGCCCCGCCTCCCGCCGCGCTCTGGCTGTGCTCTGAACCGACCACCGCTTCTCAGGCGCAGGCGGGCCGAGTGCCTCCGTGCAAGTTCAGTGGGCTTGCAGCGGGTGAAACGCGAGCCGAGCGCAACCGGGCGCAGCGGCACAAGAGCAACGAGCGCAAGGCGGCCATGATTGCAAATTTGTCGGCAGAGGAGAGATACGTGCCCCACAAAATCCAGACGGGCCAGCTCATCTTCATCAAGCCAGTCCCAGGCAGCTCCGGAAGCATCCCGACGCCCGGATGGAATACCCCGCCCGGCCCTGTGGTGATCACCCAAATCGAGAAGGACAAGGGGCCGCCCCGCCCCGGCTCCGGCCCGCCTTGTCTCACTGTCGAGTCGCCCGTTCCCGGCGGGCGGGCTTGGCGCGTGCACCGGTCGCAGGCGCTCAGCTTCACGAACACCGTCGAGCCGCGCTGGAACCGCCTCGAGGCGGAACGGGATGAGGGGCGGGCGGGCTCCGCGTCGGAGCTGCTCGAGCTCCGCCTCGGCCTTGTGCACGCGGTGGCGCGGGAGGTGGATTCCTACACGTGCGGCAGGAATGCGGAGGCCCGTCTCAAGCAGCTCTTCCCGGCGCGGTGGCGCGCACACGCCGAGGCGCGCAAGCTACAGCCCGGATGGGAGACACTCCCGCGGGGCCTCCCCCCGCTCCTCGCCGAGCTGTCGGAGGAGATCAAGCAGCTGCCGACGCGACCCGGGCCGAGCTCAGGCGCCCTGTCCGAAGCGCCCGGCGGTGCCTCGCGTCCTTCTCCGCGCGCCCGCGCGCTCCTCCCCGCGGCTGAGCCCTCTGCTTGCGGCGCCATAGGCGACGGAGCGGAGAACCCGCACCCCATATGGGCGAGGGGATCGAAGCGCGAGCGACCCCCACCCCATATGTGAGCAGGCAAAGCCACCGCGCCATCCGCCCTTCTCCCGCGCCCCGCCCTTCTCCCGCGCCCCGAGGGAGGGGGACGGGGGTGCAGCAAAGACACTGATATCTAGGTAGTCGGGAGTAGGAGCCGAGAAGGGGGGCAGAGCCAGAGAGGTGGCGCGTCTGGGGAGGGGTTTGTACTTTGTGTTGCGAGCGATTCTAAAATCAGGTCTGCCACTGGGCGTACATCGGCCGTCCCTCAGTGCTTCCAGCCTGCCCGCTTCAGTTTCCTCAATTGGCTCGAATTTTGCTTTGTAGAAGGAAGAAGAATAGCGCTCTCCGGGGCGGCCCCCGCCAGCACGATGTGAGACCGTGTTTGCGCTGGGTCCTAAAAAAGGTTCCTTCGCCATGCGCGGTCCTCGCTGACCCTGCCAAACTCTCTCGCTGCCGTTCGCGGCTCGGCTTGCGTATGCGGGTGGGGGAGCTTCGAGCACATGCAGGCGTCCCGCCCCATCCGGCCATCCCCCCGGCTCCCAAGTGCGCGGCCGCGACGCGCTGCGCACCCTCTTCCGCGCTGCACCCGCTCTCGGCATGGCCGTCGTCCGCCGAGATCACCTCCTCTTCGCGCCGCAGGTGCACAACCAAGGGCTGGCCACCTCCGTATCCATCATGGTGAAGCCAATGGGCCAAAATTGGAGTGAGCTCCCCTCCCAGGTGGCCGGAGGGTACACCTCGGGTCGGCGTGCTGGGGGGGGGCGCCGGTGCGCAAGCCCACTTTCCGGGCGACCCCGAGGGGGAGGAGGCCGGGCGAGTGGCATCAATTCACTGTTACTGTTAGTGTCCCGGGCCGCTGTGGCACCGTTTATACGGCCCCTCGTGATGTTTTTCCGATTTTGCATTGTGAGTCGTCCTCTGGCCAGCCGAGGGGCGCCAGAACGGCATGTGTACTGCTCTGGGTGCGGGTGCGGAACGGGCTTTTTTTTACTCGCAACCAACTATACTATACAAGGACACCCTCAGGCAGGGGGGACACTCGGCGCATGTGCGACACGTCAGGGTGGAGTTGGCGGTGGCCGAGCGTCGTCTCCCGATTGACTCGCAGCGCGGAGTCGAGGGGTGAAGCGCGTCGCGCTGCGACACTCGAGAGCCGGCGGGATGGCCGTGGGGCGCGGCCGACTTTGATGCCCTCGAAGGTCCAATGCGCAATTGTTCTGTGAGACCCACGCGTCTCGTCGAGCAGCGCGCTCCGCGCCGGCGAGGAGAGGTAGCACTCCCACCAGTTTGAGGTGTTGTCGTCTCCAAAGAGAGCACCCCTCTGCATGCGCGCGCACAGGTCCCACACATAGTCAAAGTACCAGACTCCGCTGCAGCACGCGCATTCGAGCAGGACCGGCTTGGGCGCGCCGCTAGCCCGCGCCTTGCCGCTGCCCGCCGCGTCGGCCGCGCCCAGCGGCCCATTGACTCGCTCAAACTCGGTGATAAGGCTGCTGTCGTAGCCTGCCTGAAGGATGGCAGGCCCGCCGCGAGGGCGGTTGCGCGGCGGCAGAGCGTTGCGCGCTGGCTCGGCCGCGTAGCGGAGCGGAGGCAGGTCGCGCGCTTTACGCAGGGCGGCGGCGGCGTCGCCGACGGTCTTTGGCGGCGCGGGCGTGCCGCAGACGGTGCACGGCATGGCGCTGAGCGCGTCGCAGGCTGAGAAGCAGGGCGTGCAGTGGTTGCAGCTGTGGGCGTTCTCGAGGCTCAGCTCTGCGACAGGCCGCGGGCCGCGAGTCGGAGCCAGCCTCTGCACCTCGTCCGCGCGCGGCCTGCGCTCGGCGGGCGGGGGCGGACTGTAGTCCATGCCCGCCAGCAGCTCAGGTTGGTCTCGTGTCTTGTTGACCACCGCGGCCACCGCCTCATAGCACCGGCGCTCGTGTTTTGTGCCGTTGGCCGATTTGTCGTGGTGCAGTACCGTCCCATGCGAGGCGGCTCCAGCCTCCTCGTACCGCGCGGCGTACGCTGGAGCCAGGTGTTGCCGCAGGATGCTGGGGGGAGGCAGCCCCGCACCGCCAAACGCGCGCTCGAGCGAGACACTGTTGCCTGTCACCACCCGGCCACATATTCCGCACGCGGGCGAGGGCATTCCGATCAGGAAGAGGCGAGCAAGAGTCAAGCAGGTGAGCATGCAATTGGCACAGTGGAGGCCACGCCTGGACGCTGGCCGAAATCCGCACGTGCTTAAGTGAACGGACACGTCCGCCGCGGGCGCCTGAACGCGGCCGCGGGTGGGAGGGGGCCAACGTCGCAGGACGGATGGTCCGTTTCACTTTTAGCTAAACTAGCAGACCTTGCGCGCACGCACGCCAAATTTGTTTTTCTGTCTGCAACAACAGCCCGAGGGGTGAAATGTCTTTGTTGTCTCTGTAATGAAGGGCCCGCCGCTCCGCCTACGCCGGCGATGACCCTCTCGGCAGAGCGACATCGCGAGCACCGGGCAGAGAAGGACGCAGAAGCGGTTGGATGGAGAGGCAGCCGGCGCACGAGGAGAGGCAGCCGATGGAGCCGACGAGGTGAGTAGACACGAGTTTACCATTCTGGGGGGGGGGGGGGGGGCCCAAACCCCCCCCCCCAGGGGCCCTGAGGGCGAAACTAGGGGCTGGAAATTGCCCCAAGCATGCTTTAAAAAAATCCCGGGGAGGGGGACCCCCAAAACTGCCCCCCCCCCGCCCTGTGAAAAACCCCCGGGTCAAACACTGTTCAACGTCCTTGAACCCCTAACGAAAAAAAAACCCCCCCATTTGCCCTTTTTTTCCCCCCCCCCCCACCCTAGTAGGGGAGGATCCACCCTCCCCCCCTAGAAGGGTTTCCTCGGGGGCGTCTTCCCCAAAAGGGGGGGCATTTCCCATGGTCCCACCCGGGCCCTCCTGGGAGCCTGGCCGCGGCCCAAACCGAGCCCCCCACGGGGTCCCCCTAGTCGAAGGGGCGGTTTTTTTGCGGGCCCCCCCCAAAACCGGGCCCTGGGCAAAGGCTGGGTTTGTCCCCGGGGAAGCTAACCCCTCAACCGGCCCCGGAACGGAAGG